TGTGAAAGTAAGAGTATTCCAGAACTCTTAAGAAGTGTGCTCATGAGGAATCTGTACATGGACAAAGAGGCAGGTGTTCAAACAGAACATGGGACACTGAATGGTTTAAAATTAAGAAAGGTGTGTGACAGGCTTGTATTCTTTCACCATACTTATTCAACCTGTATGCTGAGCAAATAATATGAGAAGCTGGGTTGTATGAAGAAAAACATAACATCAGGCTTAGAGGAAGACTCATTAACAACCTGCGATATACAGATAATACAACCTTGCTTGCTGAAAGTGAAGAGGACTTAAAAAATTTACTGATGGAAGATCAAAGAGCACAGCCTTTGCTATCGATTACATCTCAATGTAAAGAAAACAAAACTCCTCACCACTGGACCAATAAACACCATTCTTATCAATGGAGAAAAGATTGAAGTTGTCAGGGACTTCATTCTTCTTTGGTCAACTATCAACACTCATGGAAGCAACAGTCAAGAAATCAAACGACATATTGCATTAGGCAAATCTGCTGCACAAGACCTTTTTAAAGTGTTGAAGAGCAAAGATGCACCAGACTAAGCTGCACCTGACCCAGTTTGAGGACTAAGATGCACCTGACCCAAGCCATGGTCAATAACCTCATACACATATGACAGCTGGACAGTGAATCAAGATTGTAGAAGAATTGATGTTTTTGAGTTATGGTGTTGGAGGAGAATATTGAAAGTACCATGGGTTGCCAAAAGAACCAATAGATCTGTGTTGGAAGAAGTGCAGCCAGAGTGCTCCTTGGAGGCCAAGATGGCCAACTTCGTCTCTCATACTTTGGACAACATGTCAGGAGGGACCAGTTGCTGGAGAAAGATATCATGTTTGGTAAGGTGGAGGGTCAGCAAAAAAGAGGAGGACCCCCAGCAAGATGGATTAGCAAAGTGGCAGCATCAATGGGCTCAAGTGTGGCAACATTTTTGAGGTTGGCCCAGGATTGGGCAGTGTTTTGTTCTGTTGTGCATAGCACTGCTTTGAGTGGGTACTGACTCTATGGCACCTAACAACAATAACAACAACAAAAGTCCTATCTTTAGCTCAGGGCAGAAAGCCCTCCTGCATATCACACCTTCTGACCAAGAATTCAGGCTGCAGGCACATCATGGAAGCCTGAGTCTGTTGATTCTGGTGAAAGTTGATGATTGATGTTTGATGGCAGAGTAACAGGAGGTTTTCCAAGGGACAGGAAATTGAGTATGTTGTTAAGTGCTGTTGAGTTGGTTCTGACTCACAGTGACCCTGGATAGGGTTTCTGAGGACTGGCTAATGAACTTGAACCACAGCTTAAACTGACCTTGCAGTCTAGGGCATTAGAGTGCCATACCAGGACTCCAAGTTAAGTAGTTTTGTTGTTGTTAAGTGCCGTCCGACCCACAGCGATCATGTATAGGGCTTCCAAGGAGCAGTTGGTGAGCTTGAACCACTGACCTTGCAATTCAAACAGCTTTGCAGTCTGGTGTATTAATTCACAGTGCCACACTAGGACTCCATGCTCATGGATACGAATACTTAACATTGTGAAAACATATACAATGTGCTTAATATATACATTGCTAGGTCCTCTGCTTTCACTATGACACCTGACATAGATGTTGATATCTCCTCATGTCAGACATAAACGTCATGAACTAGCAACTCCTTTCTTGTCACTCTTCTTGTTAGGTGCCATCTTGTTAGTTCTGACTAGTAGCGACCTTGTATAGGGTTTCCTAGGTGCGGCTGGTCAGTTTGAACCACTGACCTTGAGGTTCAAACTGACCTTGTGGTCCAGTGCCTACCCTACAGTGCCATACCAGTTGCTGTCAAGTGGATTCTGATTTATGGCGACCCCATGTGTGCAGAGTAGAATTGCTGTCAGGGGTTTTCAAAGCTGTGATTTTTTGAAAGCATATTTCCATATGTGTCTTCCCAGGAGCTTCTGGGTGGGTTTAAACCAACAGCCTTTCAGTTTAACCTTTTGCATCATCCACAGACTGAATCACTAGGGCCCTAAGAACTGCTCAGATCCTGGGTGAGCACATTGATACAATCTGGGCTGGTTTTATTTATCCAGTTGGAGGTGGGATGGGGAATTAGTATCAATCCTTCCATATCATGTTTTTTTAAAAAGTTAGAGAAGAACTCAACAGTCTGTGTCCTAGGAATTCTTGGTTAGATCTCTTGGTTTCAAATTTAATGAGTCTGTTTCCAAGGGGATTGCAGGTTGCTCACTTTAACAGTATTGTTACATAAACAAACAAGAGATGGGTTTGCTGCAAAGTCAAAATTTCCAACATAATTTGAGCCGTCTTAGGGTTTGAATTTCTAAATCTTCTGACCTAGCTGTGTTTTCTCTCTTCACTAAACACTGTAGTTTCAGATTTAGGGAATGATGCAAAAACACACTTGTTCCTGAGTTTAAAAGTAGAATCTCCTGACCATTTGTGTTGTTTGATGCTTCTTGCTCCTTTTGTGTTGATGGTGAGGAAGACTCTGGAAAATAATTCAGTCCACAGGAGACTGAATATGTATGCGGGTTTCAGATACTGCTCTGGCCTTCTTATTTCCGGTCTATGCTTTTTCTTAAATAATTTTGCGAGTTAAGTGCAAAAATATGTGAAAGTCAAGTTTGATGCGTGCATAGAGTAAACAACGCGTGTTTATATATCCAGTAATTGCATTGCAAAATCACCCACAGCTCACAGCCCAACCACACTTCTAAAATACTATTGTGATGCATTTAAAATTTGCAACTTTACAATGAGGTGTCTTCTTTGTATTAGCATATTTGTGTAGAAGAGCACAAACCTTTTAACCAGAATTGTAATCCAGTTTAAATGCTAAAAAAAAGTCTCCAGGATTTGCTTTGTTTAAAACGCAAATTCAAAACTTAAAAAAAAACATCTTTCAGAGTTTCATCAAGCTAGATGTAAGCAAGATTCGATTGAGGGGTGGAAAATGGATCGTATATCTTTAACCCGCAGAAGTTAAGACTTTTTTTTTTTTTTAGTTAGCTAACAATGGAAACTTTAAAAAAAGTGTTTCCCTCCCTCTGCCCTGCCAAGCAATAGAAAAAAAAAGAAAAGAAAAACTTGTTCCGCTGAGTTTAACCCCAGACAAGCTCACAACTTCCTTCCTGCTTTCCTCCCCCAACCCCCCCGCCTTTCTCCCTCCTCCACCTCAGGCTCCCCCCCTCACTCTTTTTTTTTTTTTTAAATCGTACATTGGACAAACACTGAGTAGCCTGGAGTAGACGCTGACAGGAATAGTCTCCACCGCCGAGAAGAGCTTGTAGGGCCGGCCAGGAGTCGCCACCGCCCGGCCCCAGCGCAGAGGAGCGTTTTTCCTTTCTCGCACCGCCCCCCCTGTTTTTTGTTTTTTTTTTTTTTGGTTTCTCTTAGCTTGGTGAGGAAATCATTTCTGGAGCATTTTTACTTTTAAAGCCACTCGTTCCAACAAGGTCTTGCGGCCCTGGGCAAGGCAGTTTGCACAGGACCTGGGATTCTCAGAAATTACAGGTAAGTTTAGCTTTTTAATGGCCCTCGCCTCGAAATCCTCTTTCCCCTGTCTGCTCAGGAGCGAGGCTGGTCGTTCTGGATTCTGAAGACGCGGACAGGGTTGAGGAGACTGGCAAGGAGGTTTTTATTTGGGGGAGGCGTAGGGAAGGATAGGAAGATTGGAGAGAGGGGCGAGTTTTCGGCTTTTCTTGCACCCGCCTTTAAGGCCGCTAGCCCCGTGCCGCCTTTCCCGCGTGCCGGTAGTTTCCCGGGCTCCGGTCGCCAGGCGAGATCGCAGAGCATGCGGAGAAGCCCTGGACTCTGCTGCGTACCCTTTTTAGCCGCCGCAGGGCTGCAGCCACACACGCAGCCGACTTTTTCCAAGCGGTCGCGGGTCCTCTAGCTTGCAGAGGCGGCCTGGTCCTCGGGCACACGGCGTGCGCGCGCGCGCGCGTACACACTCCCCACGCTCCCTCACCCCTTAGCGGTGGGCTCCGGCAGGGGGCGACGGTGTTCAGTTCCGGTACATGGAAGGTGCAGAGCTTGGGCCCCGGGCACGCGCAGACGCGCGCCCACGCTCACAAAATTATTGAGGGACACACTACCAGGCCGATGCTGAAAAATTCCTTGCCTGCGGCCCCACTGCTCACCCTGGGATTCGTAGGGTCAGAAACTTAAAACCTCAGGCACGTGGGCACACCCTCTATCCCACCGCCCCCTCCGTCCAGACCCAGTTGCAGGCAGCAGCACCGGGGCGCCAGGTCCCACCCAGGTTCCCTCCAAGTCAGTCCCTTCCTGATGCCCCAGGATGGTGGGTTTTTGTTAGGTACCATCGAGTCGGTTCCAACTCACAGCGACCCTGTATAGGGTTTCCGAGGAGTGACTGGTGAGTTTGAACCGCCGACCTTGCAGGGAGACCCTAAATAGGTTTTGAAGTTGCCTGACATCGTTATCCGAGATGGTGGATGGGGTGCACTCATCCCCGGGCACACAGTACACTCGTGGGTCCAGAGGCGACTCTTAGAATTTAGAAAGTGAAGAGAGGTGAGTGATCTCAACCTGAGGTGGGAGTGGGAGCACCCCAGGAAACACAACTGCAGCTGCACTCACCCGTGGCACGTGCCCTCGCCTAGCCGCACGATCCCTCTAGGTAAATGTTTAATTTCACCGGGTACTAGAGTTTTCGGGGTGGGGAGGTTGGCTCCTCGCCCGCTAGCTGTCTCTCACACCTACCCTCTGGGATACTGACATTTCTCCTTGTGTGTCCACAGCGGAGCTGCTCCGCGCGATTGTTTATGGAGCTTTGGGCGGGGGCTGAGCCCGCGACCCTGCCCTTAACCTGCAGCCCTGACTATGCCGTCCCATCTGCGTGCAGAGCCACAGCCGCCGGGCCTCCGGGGCTGATCCCGGAGCTACGGGAGGAAGAAGCGCCGGCTGGTGAGCCGAAACTGGAGCCGCAGCGGCGGGGAGCGCGGCGGACCAAGTACTATGGCTGTGTATTGCTATGCACTCAATAGCCTGGTGATCATGAATAGCGCCAACGAGGTGAAGAGCGGCGGCGGCCTGGTCCCCAGCGACAGCAAGACACCCGGGTCCCGGGGGAGGGTCGTGTCTAGCCCCGGCAGCGTTTTTAGTCCCGGGAGAGGCGTCTCCTTCCTCTTCCCGCCGTCAGAGTCGCTGTCGCCAGAGGATCCCGGGAGCCCCGTGGGCTGGCAGAGCGGCCAGTACAGGCTGAGCAGTAGCAGCAACAGCGTGGGCAGTCCGAGTTGGGCGGGTCGCCTGAGAGGAGACGGACAGCAGGTGGTGGCTGCTGGTACCCTCTCTCCGCAAGGTCCAGAGGAGGCTAAGAGAAAGCTTCGGATCTTGCAGCGCGAGTTGCAGAACGTGCAGGTGAACCAGAAAGTGGACATGTTCGAGGCGCACATTCAGGCGCAGAGTTCCGCCATTCAAGTGCCCCGTAGCCCGCGTTTGGGCAGGGCAGGCTCACCCTCTCCATGCCCCTTCCGCAGCAGCAGTCAACCCCCTGGAAGGGTCTTGGCTCCGTGTACCGGTAGCGAGGAACGGAGGACAAAGTCCTGGGGGGAACAGTATTCAGAGACTTCAGAGACCTTCTCTTGGAAGAGAGGAAGAGTGCTCAGCCCATGCCCCACGAAGAACAAGGAGGGAGTGGCACTTCTCTCCTGCCGGGCTGCCCCAACTGGACCTGAAGCTCAGGGTCCAGCTGCTTCAATGGGGATGGAAAAAAGAGCCCCTGCCAGTCTCCCCTGCAGCTCACCCAAAGCTATGGAAATTGCCCAGAGGGCCTTTCCACCATCTGGAGCTTCCAGCTGCCAGGATCTTTCGTTGGAACTGAATCAAGTAAACTTTGAGATAGACACAGACATGACAGCAAGAACCACATCCATCAGGCCATGCCATTCCCATGATCCTGCCCTCAGTGAGCTTGGGGGCGCACACTTCCTGGAGGCTCCAGTGAGTAGGCAGCAGCAATCTCTGGACACTGAGACAAGCCTAGCCTCAGGGAGGGCTGGGCTCCATGGTGGGGAGCTCCCTGAGAAGGCGGAGAAAGGAAATCTGCTCTTTGGCATGCGGAACTCCTGGGACCCTGAGGTGGGCGGTATTCTGGAAGGGACCACTGTGAACTGGAAAAGCTCACAGTCCTCTGAGGTTTGGAGCTGGCCAGGGCTGTCTAGGCACCTGGACTCTGAGGAGGCCCCAAGTGGAGTCCCAGTATTCGTTGAGCAGCGTCAGCAGAGCTCTCACATAAGGGAGGAAGGGTCTCCAACACTCACTTTGCCTAGGGGCAGCATCTCTACACAGCTGGGAACTGAGGAGTTGGAGATTGGGATTCCCCCTGGAGGAATGCTAGAACCTTTGCCATGTTGGGAAACAAAAGAGCTGAAGGAGCCTGGCCTTCCTGGGCTTAGAGTGGATGTACAACATGGCAGCTCCAGAGCTTGGATGGACCCCATGGAAGAAGCAGGTCTGACTTTGATGTGTGGCACAGGGATACAAGTAGAGCCCACTTGGGAGAGCCAGCAGCAGAACAGAGATATCTCTGGGAGCCCAGAGCAGTTAACTCTAGATCAGAAGGACAAATCTTCCCAGAGGGAGGTCTGCAGCCCCAGTGCTATACCTGCTGTCATTATTACAGACCTGGGTGCACAGGAGGAAGGGGCCTTGGAGGAGACACAGGGAAGCCCTTGGGGCAACCTGCCCCTGAGGAAACTGTCCTCTTCCTCAGCCTCCTCTACTGGCTTCTCATCTTATGAGGACTCAGAGGAGGATATCTCTAGTGACCCTGAGCGCTCCTTGGACCCCAACTCTGCCTTCCTTCATACTGTGGACCAGCAGAAACCCAGAGTGGTAAGTCTTGCCCTGAGTTATCTCCAGCGCTCATGCTGCTTCTAGCAGGCCTTTCATGATGTAAGCATTCCTTATACTGAATCGTGAAAACTATGATCCAGGCCTTAGGGCAATTACAATTTATAATTCTCTCCAGGTGTGTTTGGTGGGCATCTGAAAAAACACCACACACTGTCTGGGTTGCGTTGGACAAGGGCAGAGCGTTAGAAAACGGTTTTTCCATGCACATGTTAGAAAATGATTTTTATAGTACCTCCTGTAGGTCACCACTTACTTCTTTGGAAGATGATCTTTAAAAAACTTCCTGATGAATCTCCAAAGATAGTGAACAGAAGTGCTGTGTGAAACATTTAATTCTGATTTATGTGGGTGGAGAAAAATTGATACAGATGTTGATGAATTAACTCAGCCTCTACTTATATGGGAGTCCTAGTGTGGCACTGTAGGATAAGCTCTGGACTGCTAACCTCAAAGTCAAGGGTTCAAATCCACCTCAGAAATCCAGTGCGGTGTTGCTGTGAGTCGTAACTGACTTGACGGCATTTAACAACAACAACTACTACTTATGCCAGGAAAATAAGTGTTCTGATTAGGTGCAATGCCTTGAAACCTGGAGATGTAAATGTGGTCCAGTTACAGGATAAAGAGCCACCAAGCTTCAGTAAATTAAGTCAAAACATTGCAAATGTAGTGAGGACAGAGTAACTTAGGTGTAGTTTCATGTATAAAATGAAAACCATGCTTTGAGCTAGGCAGATGGTTTCTTTAGTGACACAGAATGTTGTATTGTCTGAGATAAATATCTTTAGAGTACATGGATGTGCTTGTTGGCTGTACAGGTATACATCAGGTATCTGCAGTGTTTTGATTCATCATGCTGACACCTTGTTCTGGCTATGGCAGTAGACATGACTTGATTTTTATGGCATGATTGATCTTAGTTCTAGGTTATTTTCACTTTTTAGTGGATGAGATTGTCTTACAGAAGATATGAATTCTGAAAAGGTCTGGACTTTCTCTTACCTTTTCCAGTGAGCACAGGGAAATTCCTACTTTTGCATCATAAAACTCTTACTAAGCAAGGGGTGGTTTTGTGGTTTCCGGATAGCCTTTAAATTTCATGTAATACCAAAGGGTTATTGTAGTAGGTAGCCTTCATGTTCATTTTCAGTATCAAATGCTACAAATTTATATTGTAATATGTAGTCGTTACACATTCGGGTGCTAACTACAAGGTCACCTGTTGAAATGTACTAGCCAGCCACTCAGAGGGAGAAAGATTAGGCTTTTCTGTTTCCATAAAGATTTACAACCTTGAAAACCCTATACAGGGTCGCTATGAGTCAGAACCTACTCAACAGAACACAGCCATCACCACCACCATCAACTTTCACCAAAACAACTGAGAGCTTTATCCTTTTCGTAAGATATTTTGGGTTCTAAAATGTGTTTCTTTTTTACTCTCACTTTAGAAATTGGTCTCAATTTTTGAAGACCAGGCATTTCTTTCCATGAAACTGCTTTCTGCTGATTATCAGGAGGCAAATGTGTATGCCAAATCTCGCCCCAACCAGTCTGGCATTTTATGGCTAGGCAAGGGCCTTAGACACTTTGCATTTACTGTCAGTGACAGGCACACCACCTTTAGAGGAGGGTGGATGCACCTGAAAGTGGGAGTGGTAGAGGGCAGGTCAAAAATGTCTTTCACCAAAGGTGTGGTCCAGGTTTCTCTGCCTTCTTGCCTAGCAATTAGAGACTTAGTAAAGAAGAGATGGGCCTCTGTTCCTCTCTTCAAATTTGCTTTTTAAATCCGGATGAACAGCCAGCACAGCCAAACAGAATTGTTTTGCAATTCTCTATTCACCCTTTCTAGTGGTGGATTAGCAGCTCTTATTGGCTCTTTTTCAAAAACAGTTTATATGTTCTGATGCTGTTTGAAAGGACTTTTAACAGGAAGTAAGTTCTGGAGAAGATACATAATGACAGGTGATAGTCTTTGTTTTTGTTTTTTACTAGTCAGAGGGATGCCAACTGAGAAACCAGAGGGTTAAGTAGTGTTTTCTAATTAGCTAGTAGTCCAGAGGTAGAATGTTGCCTGGCTTCCACCTCTAAACAGGTTTTTAAACACCTAGGGAAGAGCCAGGGAAAAATTTTCCCCTGCCAGTTCCAACCTTGGAATCAGGTGTGGCTGGTGTGGGGAATGTCTGTGCATGAGCATGGCCAGTGGGTTTCGGGGAGAGGGTGGTGTGAGGAATGGCAGGTAACCAACTGGAAAGTATTGGGTCCTGTGACTCTTGAGCTTTAGGTTGAGTGCTTGCATGATAAGCTGCATTTTCTTCTTGTATACAGATTGTTAATGCAGTATCTATATAACATCAAAGTATCTGCTCATTTGGTCAAAAATCACTTGATTATTTGTCTACAGAAGGCCAGACATCTTGACTGACTGGGCCTTTTGGCTGGGTTTTTAGGTGTTTTATAGATACAAGCTAAGCCAATGCTTTCTGACGCTCTACAGTGCGTTGTCTGGATTTTGCTGCTTCTGACTCTACTGCTACATATGCATAGGCTCACATAACTCTTTCTCACTTTCTCGCTCTCAGACACACAAGTTTGAACTCTTCTTCACACATACCAACCCTCTAGTCCTCAGACGCACACTAAGAAATAAATTTTTATGCTACCCTACCTTCCTGGTGGACTCCTGTGTGGCCCTGTAGGATCAACACTGGACTTTGATCCACAAGGTCCGTAGTTCAGACCCACCAGCTGCTCCTCGGAAATGCTATACAGAGTTGCTGTGAGTTGGAACTGATTTGATGGCCCTTAACAACAATAGCAGCCTTCCTGGTAGTGTAGTGGGTTACGCATTGGGCTGCTAACTGCGAGATCAGAAGTTCAAGTCCACCAGATGCTCTGCAGGAGAAAGATGAGGCTTTCTGTTCCCACAACGATTTATAATCTCAGAAATATTATATAGGGTTTCGATAAGTCAGATCAACTGAATGGCACTTTCCAACTACAACACCACCATTCCTGTGGAGGAGTGATTGTGTGCTAATGAATGCAGGCATGAGGAGAAAGTAGAGGGGAGGCCTGAAGCCCACCCAGTCCTTCTGTCAGGCCTTTCCTGAAGCTCGGCACCTTTGTTGTTATCCTCGTTGTTATCTTTGTTGGTGAGTCTGTTCCGACTCGTAGATAACCTCTATAAGGTGTCTGAGGAGCAGCTGGTAGGTTAGAACTACTGACCTTGTGGTTAACAGTCCATTGCTTATCCTACAGCGTACTTGTGAATAAATAATAAGACCTAGAGTCAGGAAAATGGAGATTCAGAAGAACTTGCTACAGTTAAAAATAAAAAGCAAGTTATTTGGGGGTGAATTTGAAAATTACCCCATTTAGGTTGTGAAAATTTGCAAACTCTTTTTTACTGGAAGGGAATATGGTAGGAATCAAGCTTTTCATGTGTTCAGTGAATTTAAAAAACCCAATCCTGTTGCTGTTAAGTGTATTCCAACTCACAGTATTTCTATAGAATGTTGTTGTTGAGTGCCGTTGAGTATTCCGACCCATAGCGACCTTGCATAGGGTTTCCAAGGAGCAGCGGGTGAGCTTGAACTGTTGACCTTGCAGTTCAAATGGCTTTGCAGTCTGTTGCATTAACCCACAGCACCACACAGGACTTCTATAGAAAAGAGTAGAGCTAACTCATGGGGTTTTCTAGCTTGTAATCTTTATAGAAGTAGACTGCCATGTCTTTCACCAGTGGAGCAGCAGGTGGGTTTGGACTGTCCACTAGTAGGTTATCAGCCAATCACTTGAACACCAGGAACTGTAAGGACAGCCTGAGAAACAAGCAAAGTGCCTCAGACCTCTCTTCAACTTTGGGTATGTTTTTGGCAGATATACCTGGAATAGAATGTGTCAACTTTTTGCACCAACATGTTTGTTTTTAAAGTATTAGACTCTTGAAATTTGCTTGGAAGTAATTCTTTTGCACACCTAGTGCACTGTTGATACTGTTTTCTGAGATCTGAAGTACAGTTAACTAGGATGCTATTCTCTTGTCTTTGAAGATGACCGAAAATTAATCAGCAGCTCATTACTTTCCTGTAGAAATTCATTCAAGAGTATCTCGGCCATTGAAACACCAGCCTTAAAAATACGATTTTAGAATATGCATCTTGTTTTAAAAAGTGGATTTTATTAATTTATTACAAAATTGTACTATCAGTCATATGCACAGAAAAAAAAACAACACACTGTCTTAGATACCTGGGGGATATATAAAAAAGTGTAGCAAAAATTCTTGCCTTCTTGGTGCTTGCTGTTTTTAAAGGGCTACTAGAATTTTATTCTCCATTGCTTAAAAAGAATTTGTATCTAATAGTATTTTTTATCTTTTAATTAAAATGTAATTCATGCATAGTTAAAAATTCAAGCTGTTTGCAATGATTTTATATGTTTTTGAGAAGAGCATAAACTAAAATTTAAAAGTGGGGTACTTTAGAAAAATGAATCTAGTGGTGAATAATTTTAAATGGCAAATGCTTTTATGGATGAGAATATTGAAGGCTCAGGTTTGTCAGGGTATGAATGGGTGTTGGGTATTACTCTGATCTGTGTAGGGATGAAGAAGCCAAGACTCAGAGAGGTTAAGTGACCTCTCTGGTTCAGTTTTCTCTTTTAAAAAGTGCATATTACTTGAGAATGGTCTCATGGGATATATGACATTTGACCTGGTGCATATAAAGTATGTATCGGGGGTTTAGAAGTGGGAAGGTTTCTTTAGTGTGGCCTTTGGTCACTGAGATTGAACCCTTGAGAACGTTTACATTTTGTGATTTTAGAACTGCTCCAAAGGTTTTTCTCTGCTGTAATCATTATGGAAGCAGATCACCAGGACTTTCTTTTGTGGTGCTGCTAGCTAGGTTTGAACCACCAACTTTAACTTTTAAGTTAAAAGTCAATTACACATCTGTTGCACTATTCAAGAGACC